ATGAGGCGAGATGAGGCGAGACTAGGAGGCGAGATGAAGCGGGATGTTGTGTGGCCGCTTGTGCTGCCAAGCAGGCAGCACAAGCAGCCACACAACCCAAAAGCTCACTTGTATGGCTGCTTGTGCTGCCTGCTTGGCAGCACAAGCAGCCACACAACATCCCGCTTCATCTCGCCTCCTAGTCTCGCCTCATCTCGCCTCATCTCGCCTCACCTCGCTTCATCTCGCCTCACCTCGCTTCATCTCGCCTCACCTCGCCTCATCTCGCCTCACCTCGCCTCACCTCGCCTCACACCTCGCCTCATCTCGCCTCACACCTCGCCTCATCTCGCCTCACCTCGCCTCATCTCGCCTCACCTCGCCTCATCTCGCCGAGGTACACCTCGCCTCATCTCGCCTCATCTCGCCTCACCTCGCCTCATCTCGCCTCATCTCGCCTCATCTCGCCTCACCTCGCCTCATCGCCCCTCACCTCGCCTCACCTCGCCTCATCTCGCCTCATCTCGCCCCACATTTTTTTCTTTTCTCAACCACTCCGAGACCGACCCAAGACCGACCCGAGACCCGAGATCGACCCGAGATCGACCCGAGTGCCGAGATCGACCCGAGATCGACCCGAGATCGACCCGAGATCGACCCGAGATCGACCCGAGATCGACCCGAGATCGACCCGAGATCGACCCGAGATCGGCACGAGCGATCAACCCAACAATGCCCCAAAGCCCCCTCTCTGGGGGACCCCCCCTCACCCCGAGTGTCCGTGTCCTTCGCGAGTCACCGATGGGGAGCGGGGGGGGGTGCGAGATGCACAGGGGAGGCTGGGGAGGGGGGGGTCCACTCTGAAGACTGCCGACCGCGGGGGGGTTTTGTCCCACAGGGTTTTACCCTCCGCGTGAGGATCGGCGCGGCGAGGGGGTAGGTTCGAATTCGCCGCGCAACATTTCACCCCCACAGGACCCCGCCCACCCCCCCTCATGGTCCCACCTAGTACCCCAATGAGCCTTCGCACCCCCTCCTTGCGCAGTGTCCCCCACTATGTGTCGCCGTTATCGGGGCATGCTATCCTGTGTAGTCAGGGCAAGTGGGGGCGAGGCGCAGTCCCGCTGGTCTGATACTGGTGTGGTTCTGTCCCTAGTCTCGGAGGGGGGCTTGAAGCTAAGAATATTTTATTTTTTTGGGCAGAGCAACAAAGGTTTGACGCGTCGCTCGGTGCAGGAGGGCACTGCAGTAGAGGTGCAGAGGCCGTCCGGCGCGCGCGCTCTGCGCTCCTGCTTGTGCATGCCGGACGTCTCATATGTGGCGCTGCAACGGACGGACACCCATGCAGTGAAGAACAGTACAACGGCCGGACACCCACTCCCACTTGCTGACTCGCTCGACGATGACACAAGTACTTCGAGGGCATCCCCCCCTCTCATGTGGAGTATTCAGTCTCCCTCATGCTGTCTATGGCGCAGCCTCTCGACGCCGCCCGCGCGCTCGTAGATCGAGCGCGCGGCATGGCTCGACTGGCATGTCTAGACCCTCCCCGTACTCGGTACTGTGCGTGGAGCACAGCGAACCGCGATGTGGCATTGGCAGCTACCAGAGCGCGTCTGGAGCGCTGCCATTGTGTGACCCACGTCCAAGCGCGAAGCGGCGCTTCCCCTTCCGGCGTCGCTGTCCTCTTTTTACGCTTTTCATTGGAGGGGGGGGGGGGGGGGGGCGAGGTCTCATCAACTTCGAAACCGATGTTTGTGAATATTGAAACATGAAAGTGGGAAATGCGTCCGTCCCTTCGTTTGAGGGTATTTTGAGCTTGAAACCTTGAGGGATGACCCGGATGAGCATGTCCATGTGAGGCGGGGGTGGGTTTATTGGATATTGCGACTCCAGGGCCGGAATCTCGACTCAGGCTCAGCCTCCAAAGACCAAACCCTCTACGCACACTCGCGCACTCTATGTCGGCCTCATGGGCCAAGACGCGAGGCAGCTAAAAATGACGACACGACAAGAGGAAGATGGCAAGCAAGGACAGAGCGGGAGAGAAACCGAAAACAGCGGCCGGGCGGGCGCGAGAGCACGAGTGCGGGGCGCTCGACGCGCCCGGGGACCGTGCAGCAGCGGGGAGGCGGGCGGAGCATGGTATGCGGCCCGCACACCCGCCCGGCGCCGGTGGCGGGGGCGGGGTGCGGCAGATGCGGGAGGGGGAGAGGGGGCAGGGCGAGCCGCGGCTAAAAGAAGTGCTCGCCGCTCGTCGCGAAGAGCTGCTCGACCTGGCCGTAGTCGTCGTATCCCCACTCGGCGTCGGCGTCGGGTAGCTCCGCCTTGACGGCCCACACACACACATTATTAATCATCGGGTAATAATTATTAATTATTAATCGTCGGGCAGCGGCGCCTTGACGGCCCCGCCGGGAGGCCGCGCCTCCTCGCCGCCGGAGGAGGAGGAGGAGGGGCCGGCCGAGGAGGGGCCGGAGGAGGAGGGCGGCAGCGAGGAGACGGGGAGCCTGCCACGCCGAGCGAAAGACGCGCGGTGAGGCACGCGCGGTGAGGCACGATCGGGGCGGGCGGTGCGGGGCAGAGGTGCGGCGGCCACCAAGAGTGCGGCGGCGAAGCGGCGGCGGCAGCTGCTGCGGCGTACTTGTTCACCGCGAGGGAGTACTGCATCCGCGCACAGCTCAGCACCTGGCGGCGGAGCTCGAGCGCGTGTGACATGCGCCAGAGTGTGCGGAGTCGGCGGGCGGGGAGGGGGGGGGGGGGGCGAGTGCACAGCGGTAGGTGGGTGGGGGGAGGGGAGGGCGGGGCGGCTGCGCCGAGTTGACAGCGTGCGCTGCGTTCTTCCAGGACTGGATGTCCTCTTGCTGAGAGAAGCCGGGCTGGGGAAGGCCAGGCTGAAGCAGCTCCGCCTGCGCGCGGAGGAGAGATGGGAGGTAGGCGGGCTGGGCGGATGGAGGAGAGGAGTTGTGGGGGGAGGTGGGCTGGGGTCCAGAGCTTCAGCCCGTCGACGCAGCAGCAGCTCGCAGAGGGCCACCAGGGAGGGCGTGGGGCGGGGCGGGTCCTGCCTGCCCTCGCGTCCCGTCGCGAGGAGGGAGGGCGAGCACCCCTTGCTCCGTCGGCCGGGCGGCTCCGGCGCGCATTGCGGCGAAGTGCGCGCGCTGCTCCGGAGTGACCATCGAGTCGGTCAGCAGAGCGAGTGCGGCGCTCCTCGCACTCTGCGAGGCGCACTCTGCAGACATCCCCTCCGCCGCCGCCTCGGACGCCTCCGCACCCACACCTCCGCCCTCCCTGCCGGCCACTGCCCCGCTGACCACTGCCCGCGCGACAACTGCCCCGCACCCCGGCCCGCCGCCGCCACCGCCACAAACGGCGCTCGCGGAAGCCGCAGCGCCGTCGGCACCCCCTCCGGCCGAAGCCTCGCCTCCGCCGGCGGCGGCGGCGGCGAAGGCGACTCCGATCGACGCTGCCGTCGCCGCGAGGCCCGGGTCCGCCCTCCGGTCCGCCAGCCCGATGCTGGCGGCGACCAGAGGCGCGCTGGAGGCGGCGAGGGAGGAGGAGGCGAGGGAGGAGGAGGCGAGGGAGGAGGAGGCGAGGGAAGGCTGGCCGGCCGCGGTGGAAGTGTCTGCCACCGAGCCCGGCCCTGCCAAGAGTATGAGCTCGTCCGAGGTCTCGAGCTTGGCGTGCCGGCCGCTTGCGGGTCGGGCCTGTGTCGGCTCCGCGGCTGCGTCGAACCCCATCATCAGGGCGTTGACGATGTCATCCGAAGAAGAGAGGACTGCGGAGGCGGGGTGGGGGTGAGGGACCCCGCTGGGGAGGGAGGGGGGGTCGATGCGCGGCTCGGGGGCAGATGGCGAAGGGTGGGAGGGTGGTGGTGGTGTGGGGGGGGGGGGGGGGGGCGAGGTCTCATCAACTTCGAAACCGATGTTTGGGAATATTGAAACATGAAAGTGGGAAATGCGTCCGTCCCTTCGTTTGAGGGTATTTTGAGCTTGAAACCTTGAGGGATGACCCGGATGAGCATGTCCATGTGAGGCGGGGGGGGGTTT